CAAATATACATATTTTATTTTATATACAACACTATGGAAAGACACCCCAGAAACTAGCAACACTGACTGCCTCCAGGAAGGGTAGCCAATGGCCAGGACACAGCGCTGGGAGGAAGACGTTTTCCTGCAGACTGATTCTTCTGTACCTTTTGCAATTGAACGATGTGAATATATACCACCTATTTCGAAACAAGTCAAACAAAACCAAACCAAGAAAATCAATCTCCATTTTTTAACATGATGACCCTAGGGAAGCTATTTAACTTCCCTGTGTCTCACTTTCCTTATTTATAAGAAGGGGGACAAATCACATATCCTGAGGTCAAAGGATGAGGACTACATGAGATCACATAGCTAAATCACCTATACTTGGGGCTTAAACAATTCTGGAATATGCATGGTTCTCTTCTATTAGAAATGTTTGGAAATCAGTATTTTTGTGCTCAAACCTACAATCTCGGTTCACAGAGAACTGTGCTTTACTCTGCTACATTTATACAGATAACGTCTTCCAACACTCTTTCTCTGGGATAAACATCTGCTCTGAGTTGGACCAATACAATTGGTCTTCTAAAAGGATGACTCAAGGACACTAATCAGTAAGACACTAGGACCAGAAGTGATGTGAACTTGGGGTGGGGGACCTTGCCGAGTGCCATGCATGTCCTGAAGCAGAGAAAGCTGCTCTGTAAGAGAGAGAAAAAGAGGCAGAAAGCCAGCCTCAGTTCATGTTAGTTTCTGCCTTTTGGGTTCTAGTCTCTCACAAAGTCTTGCTCTTAGGTTTTGTGAGAAGTCTCCTGATTCCCTCCCTTTACGCAAGCTAGCCTGAGTGCTTTCTGTTGGGCCTGACCAAACCACCTCAGAGCAATGCAATGCTTCTTCTTCTCAAGGAAGGTGACTGTTCCATGACTCTTCCTTTCTTTCCAACCCGCCTTCCCCATTCTCACCCATTTCCGGCCACTCTCAACTGATGACCACACAGGACATTCATAGAAATCAGATGCCAGCAAAGAGAATTTCCCACGTTCCCACCACCAACATTACATGATGCCTCCCACCCTGGCTTCCCTCCTGCTACAATGGAAGAATCCCCCAACTCTTGGCAAAGGCAAAACCCTCCAATTGTTCGGGAGACCCTCCCCTTCCTCACTCTTGCAGTCATTCCTACTATCTGGCATCTTCAGTTTCTCTCTTCCTACTGGACCATTCTCCAGCATACAATTCTGTTCCAGTTGACATCTCCAGCCTTAAAATGAAAACTTCCTTGACCCTCACATACTCCTGTTATCATCCCACTTCTCTGCTTCTTTCACTGCAAAACTTCCTTAGCAGGTCATCTCTGCTCAGTCATCTCTACACGGCATCACCTCCAGTTCATGCCTCAAACCACTCCCACCTGACTTCCATCCTTGCCACTCCACTGAAATCACTAGTCAAAGTTACCCACACCTCCGTGTCCCCAAATCTAACAGCCACTCCTCTGTCCTCATCTTATACAACTTCCCAGCTGTATCTGATATAACCATCAGTTCTTTCTTGAAACAGTCTCTCCTGCTGGACTCTGACACTACGTTTTCCTGACGTTCCTCCTACCTTACTGACTGCACTGCCTCTACCAAATCTCTGAAGATGAGACAACTTCAAGGCTTGTCTTGGGTCCTTTTCTCTAACCATACTCCCTCCCAACATGATCTCACTCAGTCCTGTGGCTTAATATTCTATCTATACACTGCTGACCCTCAAATTTCTATCTCCAGGCCAGACCTCGTCTTGTATCCCAGACTATTATATCTGACTATCTCCTTGACATCACCTCTTAGATACCTATCGGACAATTCAAACTTAAGTGCAGAGAACTGCCTCAAACCTAAACTGACTTGTCTTCCTCCTCAGTAAACAATACCATGCACTTACCAATTCAAGTTAGAAACCTAAGTGTCACTCTTGATCTCTCCTTTTCCTACACCCACAAACTGCTGCTAATTATGACTGGCAAAATATATACCAAATCTGTCTGCTCCTTTACATCTCCACCATGACCACCCTAGTCCAGGCCACTCAGACAACTATCATACCTGCACTCTTGGTCCCTGCTTCTACTCTCGACCCTCTAGAGTCCACTTTTCATCTGAGAGTAGAGTTATTTTAAAAACAGAAATCACATGCCAATCCTCTCCCCTGCATAAAACCCTTTAATGGCATTCCACTGTTGACAGACACTATGAATTGAATATTTGTGTTCGATAAAATCTGTATGTTGAAAACCTAATGCTCAAGGTGATGACATAAGGTGGGGCTCTGAGGAGGTGAATGGGATTAACGCTCTTATAAAAGAGGTCCCAGAGAGACCCCTAACCCTCTTCAATCATGTGAGGGCAACTGGGAAGAGGGCCTTTATCAGAACCCAACTGTGCTGGCACCCTGATCTTGGACTTCCAGCCTCTAGAACTGTGATAAGTCTATTTCTGTTGTTTATAAGCCACCCGGTCTGTGATGTTTTATTCTAGCGGCCCAAACAGACTAAGAAAACAGGATAAAACCCATTCTTATCATGTCCAATGAGCTCTACCCATCTCTTCCCTTCACTCATTATGACCCAGCTCCAGCTTTTCCCATCTCTAGGCTATTTATTGACCTTGATGTTCCTTCATCTTGGAAAGCCTTTCGCCAGCTTGGAGAGCACACTGTCATCTTCAGGTCTTGGCTCAAATATCCCCTTCGCAGAGACATGGTTCCTGACTACACTACCTAAAGCAACCTCCTCCTCACCAGGCTATTTGCAGTCCTTATCACAATCTGTAATACGTTTACCATTTTGCTTATCTCCCCTGCAAATAGGTCCACAAAGGCAGGGATAGTATCTGTCTTTTCCTCTGCTATAACCTTGGTGTCTGGCATATAGTAGGTGTTCAACAGACATTTGAATGAATAAATTAAAGGACGTTAAAAAACAAAACTTAGACCGCTCACTTACAGTGTGATCAGTAGCAAACCAGATTTCCCACAGCAGGACTAAAGATGAAAGAAACAGAAGTGGGGGTGGTGGTGAGTCCACTCACTTTTAATTCTTCTATCAGAGACTAAGAAAGGATACTGTCACATATATCAACATGAATTGATGCCACCAAATGACATTCAGCCTCATGCTGTTACCATGAAACCAGAGGACCAGACTGTAACAATTAATTTTCAGCTTCTGTGCTGAGCAGCCAGCACTCACTGCCTCCCCACGCCCCTATTTTTCCTGAAGAATGGGGAGGGCTCTGCTCAGGACTCACCAGCCATCACGGAGTAGCTGAAGTGTTCTGCTGCAGGATCTAGGTTCACAACTTGGACAGACCGATTGAGGGCTTCACAGTGCTGGACCATGGTGGCACAGTAGGTGCTCTGCAATGTCACAGAGAGGGTGAGAGCAACAGGCAGTGTAGTGCTTATCCCCTATACCTCCAGGACTCTCCACACCCCTTGGGCGGTGTCCACTAAGGCCAAAACTATTCCTTCATTGACCAAGAAGAAGCTGATTGAAAACAGAGAAAAGGCCCTGGGCTGGGAGTCGGGACATCTGACTGAGCTGCGGATCCAGACCTGGCTCAAACTCATAGGTAACCCTGGGAAAGTTACTTTTCCATTCTGTCCCTCCATTTTCTTGTCTTTGACTGGGATGGCCTCCATGATCTCTAAGGTTCCTTACTTCTCTTAATGTGCAACAAGTAGAATTTAAAGGGTTGATTTCTGATTATACAGTGCAGCACCTAACACATAGGGTCTCCACTGGGATTGGTACATTCCAAAGCTTTAGGTAGGGTGGTCGGGGGTACTGTCTCTGAGAAGAGATGCAGAATATTTGAGCTGAGGAATGGCAATGTGCTTGCCAAGCCAGGGGAAGAGCATTCCAAGATGAGAGAACATCAGGGTTAATAAATAGCCTAGAGGTGGGCTATCAGTGTACAGCTTTTGGTTAAAGAATTCTTTATCCCTCATGTAATCATTACCATACTATGTT